AGTGGGAGCATGCAGCAACAGCCAGAGCCCTTGCTGGAAGCACCCAGAACTAGTTCTGCAAATTTATTTCAGTCTTGCCCAAAACTCTATCACCTTAAAACGCCTTGGAGGTGGCTCTCAAGACTAGAAAGCAGGGTCCGGTGGATCACACCTGTAATCCTAGCACTGGGAGGCAGAGCCTGGAGGATCGCTTGAGGTCAGGAGTTCAAGACCAGGCTGAACCCCATCTCTACAAAAACACGAAAAAATTAGCCTGGCGTGTTGTTCCCCGCCTGTAGTCCCAGCTACTCAGGTGGCTGAGGTGGGTGGATCGCTTGTGCCTATGAGTTCGAGACCAGCCTAAGCAACATAGTGAGACCAAGTCTCTAAAAAAACACATTAAAAACCCAGAAAAAAATTAGTCAGGTGTGGTGGCGCGCACCTGTGGTCCCAGCTACTTGGGAGACTGAGGTGTGCAGATCGCTAGAAGCTGCAGTGAGCCGAGATCGCACCGCTGCACTCCAGCCTGGGGGACAGAACGATACCCAGCCTAAAAAAAATTAAAAAAAAATAAAATAAAAACAAAGAAAAGAAAAAACAAAGGTAGGAGGAAGCAAAGCAGGGACCCAAGTTACGGCCTCAGGGACTTCCAAAATCAAAGCCCTAACCTGACGAGCCCGCCCTAACGCCTATAAGAAAATGACTCTCACTTTTCATTGGCTGACCCTCCCGGAGTTCAGACCTTGCTTCATTTTCTTTGGTTGTTGCTGGTGTCACGTCTTCTAGCCACGCCCACTTTCCGGCCGGCGCCCAGTGAGCGCTGAGCGATAGTGATTTGCAGTCGGTCAGGGGCGGGAGTTCGAGGCAGGAAAGCCTGCTTCCCCCTCCCACGCGCCCCCCCCCGCCCCCGCCCCGCCCCCGTCCCGAGGCCCCGCCCCTGGCTGGGCCGGGCCCCGCCTCTCTCTCCCGAGAGGGCGGGCACCAGGCGGCGGCCGCAGCCGCAGGAATATGCTGGAAGACGGCGGGCGGGCGTCCGCGAGGTGCTGAAGGGACAGTTCCCGCCGCCGAACTTACCCCGCGGGTGGGGCGGCCCGGGAGCCAGCGGGGCACGTGAGCGATGGAGACCATCTGGATCTACCAGTTCCGCCTCATCGTGATCGGGGACTCCACCGTGGGCAAGTCCTGCCTCCTGCACCGCTTCACCCAGGGCCGCTTCCCCGGGCTTCGCTCCCCCGCCTGCGACCCCACCGTCGGCGTGGACTTCTTCTCCCGCCTGCTGGAGATCGAGCCGGGCAAAAGGATCAAGCTGCAGCTCTGGGACACGGCGGGACAGGAGCGGTTCAGGTAGGGACCTCGGGCGCCGCGCCGCTCCCTCGGCCCGCCGGGACGCCCCTTCCCAGGCGCTCGCCTCGCCGGCCCTGGTCGGGAGTGGCTCTGGCCCTTCCCTCTCGAAAGTGCAAACACTCCATTCTCGCTTCCCCTTTGCCCCTCCTCTTCCAGGGACGACTTCCTCCTCCGCAATTTCTCACTTCTTTCTTTGGCGCCCATTTCCTGCGCCCCCTTTCCGTCTTTCCTTTCCCGCCTGAACCGGGGTCGTCCTCGCAGCCCCCTCTTCCCCAACTCTTTCGGCCCCTGTGGGTATTTTGGTCCCGTTCGGCTCCCCCGCTGCCTTCTCCCGAAACTCGGCTTCCCTGGCTGCGCACAGCCTGACCCGACCACCCTTCTCCAAGCAGGCGCCCCCTTTCCTGCCCTAACCCAGCGGCTCCCACGCTGTGTGGCCCGGGAGAACCGCGAAGGAGGGCTCCCAGATTCGTGATGGATCCTTTAGCTTCACAGCGAGGAGCACTCCAACCCAGGTTCTGCATGAGCTCACTGGGCATGGTTCACAGGGAGGTGGATGCGGTGATGGTTTGGGCACCTCACAGCACTGAATGTGGTCATCAGAAATAATGGGTCATTACCCGTGGGAATAGGTCGTGTAGGTTAACTAGATGCAACATCAGGGGCGCTGGCACAGCTGAGGGTGTGTGTGTGTGTGTGTGTGTGTGTGAAGGGTTGAGTTGTCTTTAGAAGTTTGTCATGTTTGGTGGGAAAAAGAGATATATTGAGATTTGCCAGGAACTTTTATTTTGCTTATTTAGGATCAGTACTTAACGTTCCAGGGTGATAATATTTCTAAAGAGAGGAGGGATCCAAATGAAGAGACTCCTCCTAAATATTCACTGGGGACATGAAGGGTTTCACAAAGGTGACTAGTATAAATAATAAGTAAATAAAATTAAGTGCATTTCCTGAGTATTTGAGATGAAGCAGGTTTAAAGCACGTTTTAAATGTCTAGGATTCAAAGGCACTTCTTTTGAGAGGAAGATGGTGAAACTGATACATTGCACTGTTCTGTGTCTTAAAGACTGCATTATCCATTGGAACTCATTTAGGGAAGCATTTTGCGTTAGTCAGCAAGTACTCTGCTTGTGAAATGCAGTGTTCCATGAGGGGACTTCCCAAACATGGCTTCCCCTCGCCCCCAGCCAGCATCACTGCGAATGAGATCAGCCTACATCTGTGAGAATGGTCCAACATTCAAAGTTTTGGCTTCCGTTCCCAGCAATGATGCTGATTCATAGAGATAATGAGTGAACTGCTTAGCTTGCTTATACCTTAGTTTTCCTGTGTGAAGTGGAAAGATGGTAAGGCCAGCCCTTCAAAGAGGTGTTAAAAGATTATTGATTGGATTTGTACAACATTTAGGATTCCCTGAAAAATGTTTTTCCTTTTCAAGAAGCTTCCTTTATTTTTATTTATTTATTGTTATTATTTGGTGATGGAGTCTCGCTCTGGTGCCCAGGCTGGAGTGCTATGGCTTAACCTCTGTCTCCCTGGTTCAAGCAATTCTCCTGCCTCAGCCTCCCAAGTAGCTGGGATTACAGGTGCATGCCGCCACACCCAACTAATTTTTTGTATTTTAGTAGAGACAAGATTTCATCGTTGTTGTCCAGGCTGGTCTCGAACTCCTGAGACCCAGGCAATCTGCCCACCTTACCCTCCCAAAGTGCTGGGATTACAGGCGTGAGCCATCGCACCCAGCCAAGAAGCCTCCTATAATTAAAATAATTTTTCAAACTTTTGATTTCTTTTTTTTTTTCCAGAGGCAGGGTTTCACCTTGTTGGTCAGGGTGGTTTCAAACTCCTGACCTCAGGTGATCCACCCACTTTGGCCTCCCAAAGTGCTGGGATTACAGGTGTGAGCCACCACGCCCTGCCAAACCTTTGATTTCTTATCTGTGAAATGAGAGTCATTATGATCTCTAACATTCCTTCCAGTTTTACCATTCTAAAGTTGATTGCAAATTCCATCACATGTGATCTCAATCAGAGGTAAATTTTAAGATACTTCAGGGTCAGAAGAAAAGCATTTGCCAATAGCTCTTGACCCACTCTCTAAAGTGAATACAATAAAAATCTTTATGTCTTAAACGTCTAACAGCTACTTTGAGTTGCAACTATGAGAAACATGTTTAATAAAATTTTATTGTATTTTCTTAAAAGTAGCTCAACATATTGACAAGAAAATAAAGGATAATTAATTTACTAGACTTTAAAGACCTTTCTGTTACATAGATTATTGGTTTTTAACCCTTGAAGAATGTAAATAGTAATTCATTTTATATACATTATTAAAACCAAACAGTAACTCTCATATTATAATGCAAGGACATTGAGGGAATGTTTACTGACAATGAGTCATACTTTATTTTGTTTGGCTCTTTACCAAAGTTATATTCGTAAATACATACATATTTCAGTAGCTACCTCCAAATAATTGCTTTTCTTTCATTTACCAGAATGGTTCACCATAAAACGACATTTAAAACAATTACTGTTAAATCATTCTGTATCTTTCCTCAAGAAACTTGAGATACTTATTTTGAATCATAAGTATCCTTGCGTATTTTATTTCATAGAAAGGTACTGTAGGTCATGAAGATGTATTCCTGTCATTAGTCATAACCATACCATGAAGAATTTGTGGGAAATACCATATTTGAAGGTTTATTGGTGATTGGACATAAATCGACAAAAAAGGAACCTACTTTAGACAGTTCATGAGGTAGCTTGAAAGCATAAATAAATGTATTACAGAACAATAGGTTACTGAGTTGATAATCACAATCATGATTAGCTTTCTCTCTTTCTCTTCTTTCTTTCTTTCTCTTTCTTTTCTTTCCTTCCTTCCTTCCTTCCGTTTCCTTCCTTTCCCTCCTTCCCTTCCCTTCCCTTCCCTCCCTTTCCCCTTCCTTCCTTCCTTCCTTCCTTCCTTCCTTCCTTCCTTCCTTCTTTCTTTCTTTCTTTCTTTCTTTTCTTTTCTTTTCTTTCTTTTCTTTCTTTCTTTTCTTTCTTTCTTTCTTTCTTTCTTCAGGGTCTGTCACTCAGGCTGGAATGCAGTGGCGCAATGTCAGCTCACTGCAACTTCTACCTACCAGGCTTAAGCAATTTTCCTGCCTCAGCCTCCCAAGTGGTTGAGACTACAGGCATATACCACCACGCCCAGCTAACTTCTGTATCTTTTTTTGTAGAGACAGGTTTGGCTATGTTGCCCAGGTTGGTCTGAAACTCCTAGGCTCAATCGAGCTGCCCTCCTTGGCCTCCCAAAGTGCTGGGATTACAAGCCTGCGCCACTGCGCCTTGCCAGCCTTAGTTTTCAGTGTTCAGACTAACATGCTAATAGAGGACAACTACTTGCCTGAAATAAAAAGGAACAAAATCAAAGTGAAAAAGGTTTAGAAAAATAATGTATATGTGAGCATAACTGTAAATTAATATAATACTCAAATGGTACATTATTATTAACACTGTATTAGATTTGTATATTAAGGAAATTTAGAATTACAGTGCCTTCATTGAAGATGGAAGTTTATTTCTCCCTTGTGTAGAGAGTGGTCTAAGTGGGTGGAGTGGTTCTGCACCAGGCCATCATTCAGGTACCTTCTCTCTTAATTTTTGGCCGTGCCTAGGACGTTGCCATCATCTACGTGAACAAAGCTGGGCTATAAGCACTCTGTGTCTCAGTTCAACAGAATTGGAAAGAGCAGCTCTAAACCAAGCAAAGTTTCTTTTAAGCAAGTGAGGCCAACATGGTAGAGATTCTTTCGGCTCTCAATTCACTGGAGAGAACTTAGTTACAAGGAGACACAGACCAGGCCACTATGTGCCTAGGATGTAGGAAAGATGCATTTGGCATTGTAGGTGTTGGGGGAAGCCAGTAATCACCACTTTTTAAAATAATTTTTTGTTTTGTTTTGTTTTTTGAGACACAGCCTCGCTCTGTCATCCAGGCTGGGTACACTGGCAAGATCTCAGCTCATTGCAGCCTATGCCTCCCAGCTTCAAGCAGTTATTACGTCTCAGCCTCCTGAGTAGCTGGGACTGCAGGTGGTGCCATCACGCCCAGCTAATTTTTGTATTTTTAGTAGAGACTGGGTTTCACCATGTTGGCCAGGCTGGTCTTGAATTCCTGGGCTCATGTAATCCACCTGCCTCAGCCTTCCAAAGTTCTGGGATTAATTTATCAGTAAAGGAAAGGAGAATATTGTTTAATACAGTATTAATAAAGATAAATATATTGGAAGAGCTAGATGTACAGAGAACATTAAATGTAAGAATAGAAATTTTGAACTTTTCCCATAGAAAGTGTTTAAAGTTATATGAATATAATATGAGATAAATAAATAGCAATGTTAGCTATAGGACAGGGAAACTCTAGGCTTCGAGCCAGGTTTGGCCTTTTATCAGATGTTGCCTGACCTTTGGGGTGTTAATGTCCTCCTCGTGCAGTGCTCTCAAGGAGTGCTCTGCAGAATGTTCATTCTTGTGTTTATGTTTATATATATATATATATATATATATATATATATATAAAGAATGTGTGTGTGTGTTTGTGTGTGTATATATGTATATGAGAGAGAGAGAGTCTCGCTCTGTCGCCTGGGCTGGAGTGCAGTAGCACAATCTCAGCTCACCGCAACCTCCGCCTTCTGGATTTGAGCGATTCCCCTGCCTCAGGCTCCTGAGTAGCTAGGACCACAGGTACACACCACCACACCTGGCCAATTTTTGTATTTTTAGTAGAGACAGGGGTTTCACCATGTTGACCAGGCTGGTCTTGAACTCCTGCCCGAAGAGGTCCACCTGCCCTCCCAAAGTGCTAGGATTACAGGTATGAGCCACTGTGCCTGACCTGTGATTCTTCTTAAAAGATGCATTCTGTGATCAAGTAAGCTTGGAAATCCCTGTATTCCATATGGCACACTCTTAAAAATTCATATCAAAGGCTCTAACAAGTATT